CCAGCCGGTGCCACCGAAGGGCTTTGCCGGGGAAGGAGATGCTGCCGAAATCACCCCCCCCCCCCTGCCCCAGGGATTATTGCTCCTGGGGGGCACTGCCTCGCCTTGCCCGACCCCAAGAGATGGAAAAACCCCTCCCGGTCCCAAACCACCGCCACGGTCCCAGGGTATGAGCGGGGGGAAAGGCGGAGAGGAACCGAATGGTGCGGATGCCCTAAATCCATGCTCAATGCCCCCAGAAATGGAAAATAAAGGAGATCTGGGAAGCCCAAACAACCGGCTCACGGCCCCGCTGCCTCCCGGCGCCGCGGGCGGCCGCGACTGCCTCTTCTGCCTTGTTTTCCAAGCTGTTTCCATGGCCCCGGCTGACCCCGGCGCTGGGTCTGAGCTGCTCACTCCTGTCCTCATTTAGCCCGGAGAAAAGCCGGAATAGCACCGATGCCGAGGGAGCTGAGCTGATTTACGCCGTGGGAAGCCCGGCTCTGCTTTACACGAGCGCCGGGAGCGCTTTCGGGGACCCCCATAGCCCTAACCCCCCTCCAGACAGCGCTGGGGCAAATATCTCACCCCCTTTTCCTTCTCACCGGGGTACAACACGCCAGTTGAACACGCTACAGTCCCGCTCCCAGCTCCTACACCGGCATCCCACCAGCACCGGGAGCTTCCGAAGGAGATGGGGGATTTTTTTCCAGGTGGAAAAAAAATTTGTTCCCATCTCCATCCTCTTCGTTTCCTTCAGGAAAACAGTTTTCCCTTTTGGAAGGACTGCAGCAGCTCAGGGTAGGAATGGTCTGGGAAGGGATGTTCTGGGAAGGGATGCTCCGGGTTGGGATTCTCGGGGAAGGGATGTTCAGGGCGGGAATGCTCGGAGTGGGAATGCTCAGGGAAAGGATGTTCGGAGCAGGGATGCTCGGAGCAGGGATGCTCAGCACCGGCGAGCAATATCCCAGCGGATGCTCCCACCAGAGCAGCTTTTGGGAAGCAAGCTACCAGGGCCAAGCCACAGCGTGCGTTCCCACTACGGCGTGCCTTCCCACCGCGGCGCGGAGCCGAGCCGGGAGCCACCAGTTGGCGCGGGGAGGGGGAAAGGCTTGGCATGGTGCGGAGCTGCGTCAGGCTGCCGGCTCCGGCCGGGCAGGGAGGGAGCCGAGCTCTTGAAAGGGAAAAAAGGAGGGGAAGAAAAAAAAAAAAAAAAAAAAAAAACCCCGGGGCTCTTTTTTTGTTTTTGGGGGGGTT